CTTGTAATTCAACATATATAGAGCAACTATCATCCATCCACAATGCTCAACCTTACATCATGCTCTAAGCTTATAACTTCTACAAACTTGAATTTTTATTTCAAAATTCCTCCTTATGATAAATTCTTGCAAAGTTCTTTTAGAATTTGAAATATCTTTAAATACCTACAAAAATGAAGGACTCAAGTGTCAAACATCATAACCAATTTTTATCTTTCATAATGTAATATGAACAGTAGCAAATTGTTACTTATCCAATATATAAGTCATTGATGATAAGTTCATCTTCGTGTGGATACAGAGCTAAAACACTAAGGTTGAAGTCATTTTCTTCTATAACCCTATCCTTAAAGAGATTTTCATACATATCTAAATTGAAATCAATGAGCTCACTAATAATATCTTGGACATCAAATGTATTATGAATTACAACTTCTTCGATTTCTTCTATTACTCTTTACTCAGTTCACTCTTCTTCTAATATCTCATAAATATTTTTATTGTCATCCATTATAAATACCTCATTCAAACCAAAGTTGTAAGTTTAAGATTGTACAAAAGATCCTTCAATTTGCTCATTTAACTCTTGCCAAAACAAAGTTGAAGTTAATCCTTCAACTTGGTCTGGTATCAAATCACTACTTCCCAAAATTACTTCCAATTCTAGTATTGACAAAGGTGTTGTTTCATGAAATTGTCCATCCTATCTAGAAAACTAAATATTTCATTCAAAAGAGGATTAGCCCTGTAATACATAATATATAATTAAATGATGTTTAAAATTAATAGTACTAAACTACAAAGATGTAATTTATTAATACTACATATATTTTTTGTTGCAACTAATGATTCATAATGCCCTTAACGATAGGCCAATGCAATGGACGCTTTAGCAACACTACCAAGATCTGATGCTTCAACAATACTGTGAAGGATGATGTTGAGGCTTCAACAACACTATAAATGTTTCACAAATACTATGATAAGTTATATAGTAATTCAACTAGGCTACAAAAAACTACATGATAATATAGCAATGAATCACTGATCATCGAGGTTGCATGAAGCTTAATACTCAATCGACGACTAAGACGACGACGAATAATAAAAAAGGTCAATGTACTTTTGTCCCCCTCCTACCCCATTGGCAGGAATGATCATGACCCTCCTTCCACTTCTCTCCAACAATGGCTTGTTAGCAAGACTCGACGGAGACGATGATGACTTCTTGGTAGAACTCAACAACGATAAGCCACCATCGACGCCCAATGCTTTATTGGCAGGAACCCTAACTCATGGCTAGGGCTCATGATGGATGGAGATGACAATGTTGCTACCCACCACTAAAAATTAGGTTTATTATTGTTATTGCTGCACTAGCATAATAGGAGTAGCGATGTGATTTAAAGAAAATAGAAGGACAATCTAGGCCCTAATGGTGAAAATTTTAATACTTAAGAGTTATATTGAACTTGTCTAGTTCAATAAATTTGGTCTAGTTCAGTCCATCATGTTCAACACAAAAATACTCTATTTTAAAAATAATCATCTTAAATTCAAAAAAATAGAAAAATTAGTAATAACATATTAACATATTAACATCTTATTGTCGTTCAAAAGAAGCTTTGATAGGTTAGGTGAAAATTCAAAGAGTTACACCCGATCATAGATTTAAATCAAAGATATTTTATTTCAAAAAATAATCATCATAAATTTATACAAAAAAAAAAATGATACTAAGCATATTAGTATCTCATCTTTATAGTTCAAGAGAAGTTCAGATAGGTTTGATAAAAATTCAAAGTATTACACTCAATCATATATATAAACAAAAATATATCTTATTTCAAAAGTTAATCTTAATAAATTTATATAATAATAATAATAATAATAATAATAATAATAATAATAAAAAATAATATATTAGCATCTTGCTCCGGAAGTCTAAGAGAAGTTTGGATAGATTTGGTGAAAATTGAAAGAGTTATACTAATCATATGTTCAACCCAAAAATATCCTATTTGAAAAATTAACCACTCTAAATTTATTTAAAAATATTCTAAATATATTACCATCTCACCTTATTAGTTTTGAAGAAGTTTGGATAATTTGATAAAAATTTGATGGGTTACATTCAATCACCAATTGAACCCAAAAATATTCTTTTTGAAAATTTGGTTTGAAATAGCTCGATTTAAAAGCATTATTAATTTTATTAAAAAAGGACATCTTTTGATTAAAAGCAAAATATACAAGCATCATACGGTAAAAGCCCAATACTATGGGTTTTTCTGGTAAATTATTTTATATTTTTGTGAGTGGCAAACAATTATAAAAACATAAAAAGGATTAGAAAACCCTCACAGTTTGAGAGGTAAAATTAAAAATAAATGATTAAAAAATAGTTTATTTACTAAATAAATTATCTCATAATCATTTGAGAAGAAAATTGTTCTTATCCAAGAATATATATATTTTTTTCATAAATATCAGTTTTATTCTCGTAAAATTTGATTGTATTGATTTAGACCAATAAATCAATTCGAGCCAAATTCATAAACCCTTCTTTCTCTCCTCCTTCGTATTTTTTTTCCCCTTCTCATTCCCACTCTACCGCTCCGCCGTCATCTCTTCCTCCTCCTCTCCCCGGTATGATAAAAACCAAATTAGTAGGTTTTAAAAATATAAATTCAGATTAAAAGAAAAAATAAATAAATATGGTAATAACGACAAAAATATTAAATATATAGAGTATTACTATAGCGTTTGGATTATAATGTCAATACAAAGTGCTTTCATCTTAGAGTTAGACAAGCTTTGTCATATACATTTGGAAATAAGGTAATTAAAAGGTTATTGTGCTCCAACAAAACTAATTGTATACTTTCAGTATTAGTTAACATTACTCTATTTTTCTATGAACATAATATTGGAAAACATGTAATTTTTCTAGAAAATATTTATATTTTAAATATTTTTGAAAAGATATCCTCTTTTTTATTTTTTTTCTCAAATAATACCCCTAATTTTAAAAATACCTAACATTACCCCCTCAAAGGTTTTTCCATCAAATCTTTTTCTTTATTTTTTTAGTTTTCAACTATTATAGTGCTTTCATTTGGCTCTGTCTCAATACTGTCTAGTAAACAAATATTTTTTTATTATGAGAAATATTTCTCTAATAGTAAATAGTTATGGAATGACCAATTATAAATAGTATGTGTATGTTGAGATTTGATACTTTCTTTATCCCTTAAATCTATCTCGAAAGTTCGACTTGAGCATCAGACAAACTACATCAATATCGTATCAAACTCTAAACAAAATATGATTATTGAGATTAAGGTTGAATGCTTTTTTTTTTTAAATTTATCTCCGGCGTCTAACTTAAGCATTGGAGAAACTACATCGACATCACACTAATTTCCAAACAAAATCAGAATTCTTGGAGCAGCCCAGAGCTGAATCAAATCAAGATTGGCAACCCTCCCATTCCCAAATCTGCCACCCACATCAAACAATAACATTAACAAAGAGAAAAAACATAATGTTATGCCAATTCAAGTTGATTGTTGTAGAAACACAATTTGCGGTTCATCGTGTCAAATAAAACAAGTCTGCAGCTGATGAAGTAGGTTTTTGGTAATTGTTGTTCCTGCATTTCATTTCTTATGGAATGAAATAGAATGGTAGGAAATGCATTTACCAAATAATATTTATAAAAATTCTATGGTTCGTCTTATCGATTTATATCGATGCGCTAATCATTTCTCATTACAGTACATATCGAATTATACCGAATGTATCGATATATGATACATAAAAATTCTTAATGTACTATCCAAACCGATCTTATGTAGGATTGATATATATCATGATATTGAATGGTACAGTAAACTTTGCTCTGCAGGTTGAGCAGCAGCTGCAGCAGCCCAGAAAAACAGTAATCAAAACAGGATAGAGTCTCTTCTATCCATCAGCATCTCAAAATGTAGATGGACAAACTACTCTGAAGGTTGAACACCAAGTAGAATTGGAAGTCAGATATTGGTTAATGACATCTCTGGTCTGATTACAGCCATATTTTACTGGATTTTCTTTGTGTTGGACATTTTAGAAATTTGCTTGCTAATTGCTTTCATATATCAGCTTAACAAAAAATTGGTCTCAGGTTTATGAGCCATCACACACATCATTCAACTCAAGGAAATCCCATATTACATATAATGATGAATGAGAAAGGTCATAAAAGCAGAAAACAATAATAGCATTGATATTATTATTATGATGATGATGATTATTATTATTATTATTATTATTATCCAAAAACATTAATAGGAAATTTTTTACAGTTTCTCTTCATATTCTTGCCAATTAACATTGTTGACTCTTTCCTTTCTAGCGCCCCATAAAGCTTTGTAAATAGCAATATTTTTTGTTTCTGAAATTGAAACTGGAATTGTTAACTAGAAGTCTAGATTTCATAGCAAACATATAAATCACTAGGTGATCCCACCAATTCAAAGTTTGTCTGCACCAATGACCTATTGTGGTTTTTTATGTGAAATGACAATGGGTATTAGTTCATCTTCTTGATATTGTTGTCCATTTTTCTCATCCTGACAATTAGCAAAACTAAGAGTTTTGCAATGGAAATATGTTTAGGGAAAAAGATTATAAACATGAACTTCAAAAGTCTACAATTTTCGAACTCCTTTATTGTGTTTTTTGCAGAACCTCACTCCTGATTCCATGACAACTACAAAAGCAGGAACTTTGAGATGTACCTCAATAATTGTTTTCAGGTGAACAAATACAGAGAAAATGTAAACAATGAGGTGAGCAACTTGCATACCACCTTCCCAAAACCAAGTTCTCTCAAATGAGGCAATAAGCTTTTCTCAAGGTTGATGAATGTTGAACTGGAACTACTATCAAACATATGTGCAGAAACTGCTTGTAAATGTAAAATACAGGATATGATACAATACAGAATGTGATTTTTTTTTTTCTCTTTTTGAGCAATCTACAGTTGCACACAGGACCAGTATGCACCAATCATGAATCAATCGAGAAAAAGAAAAAAAAAATCTCCCCCAGTGCACCCACCAACAACCACTATATTGCAGCTGTATAGTAATCGTTATCCCTTTTTAATTTGTCTATTAATAACTCCATCATCCTTTTATACCACGGCATATAATGATCATCGATCATAGTCTGCGATAGGCGAATCTTCCCATACAGCTCCCTTGGGGTTTCATAGATGCCAATGCTTCTGTTGTTCAGAGCATCGTTGACAGTATCAGAATGATCCAATGCAGGCACAGCGACCATATGCATAAGTTTACCAGGAGGATACAACTGATACTCTTTCTGTGCATTTGGTGTTGTGGCCAGTTCTTTCTCCATTGCTTCTATTAGCAATGTACTGTCTTCTTTCTCTTTTTCTAGGCCCTGCATGTCTTCATGATGATGGTGAAGTTTCTTTTCTATCTCAAGCCAGAATTCACCATCAGTCATTTCTTCTACTGATGCAGCTTTGCAAAGGTGATTAACCTGCAAAAGTTTCTGGTCTTCAAGTATTTCTTCACAGCCTGAGGCTTGCAGACAATTTACAGGTCTTGTATGTGTACCCAGCGAGCCAGGTGCTTCCTCCTCATCAGGGCCTGTACGAGTACCGAAAGCTTGCCGATTTAGGGTCATGTCAGACCAGCATGAGACAGATGAGCGGCATGTAACTACTGCATGTGCAACATGCTGTGCATGTCTGATCACAACCTGGGGTGCCAGGAAAATGAAACAATAACTGAGGACAAACTAATTGAGCGGAAGGAATCAGCAACCACTTAAATATCATTGCAACAAATATGGGAAAAGCTAATTGAGTGGAAAGAATTAGCAAGCACTTAAATATCATCACAACAAAGATGGGGAACAATATCATTAAGTAAAAGATATAAGAAAGAATATGCAACTGGAAAACTAAGCTAAATATCATAGTCAAGAAGACAAACAGAAAGAGAAATCTTCATGTGTTTCATTCTCTATTTGCTTCTTATGCAACACATGAATGAACAGTGAGGGTATTGCTTCATTTTTTGACACAAATAGTTGTTCAATTATTCTCCTTTAACAACACAGATATTTTAAGTTCCTAACTTGATAAGATATGCATTCTTTTAGATCTGGAATAGACAGGAACAACCATCAAACAAAGCATTACAAATGTCAAATTAGTTTAAAGATAAACCAAGTTGCAAGTCAAGCATACATTTAGGCTGCAAAATGCACCATTTGCTTCACCATACATTTCTAATCTGAGAGTGGCAGTAATTAGAAGCTATTTTTAACTACCTTGGGGTTATTAACTGCCCAAAAAACAACACGTTTCTAGTTCTTGTAATTTTTCTGTGTGTTTATTTTCTAACATCAGAAAATTTTTTAGTTTGCATATAACAATGACAAACAGTGTTAGCTCGTTTAAAGCACAATTATGACAGTGTAGTTGAATGTGTATTTCAAACCTAAAAATAGCAAATTCTCCAAAAAATTGTCCAACAACAATTGAGATGAGACAAAAGTAAAGAAGATATTTGGCACAAATGGTTTGATGAGATAGATGAATCTTCCTAGGACACACTACATTTCCAAAAGGTTCATAGATCTTGTTTGTAGAGATGCAGGAGAAATGAGGAGCTAGAAGTTTGCAAAGAACTATAATTATGAGCACAAAACAAACTAATCCAATGCAAGTCCAATAACTCAGATGCTACCTCAGTGCTTTCTGATGCTGGCCGTAGAAACTTGCCAGTAGTTGTGACCCTTGTTCTTGTGGCAGATATCGATGGTACACAAGATCTTAAAGTGGTCATAAAGTGATATAGTCCTTTTAAAATTCTTGTGTGCTGAATTCGATTTGTTAACCACGAAGATGTCTTGATCTGCATGATGAAGAAAGAGAACCTTAACAATCTTTTTAATGATTTGTTTATCCACCTTCACCGAATAACATAGTGCAAGTAGTGAGGAGAGAGAATGCCCAAATTATAATAAAGAAATATAACCTATAGAAAACATAGATTACTCAAAGATCATATAAATTGACACTAATATTCATATATTTTGTCACAGCTTGGACATATCTACCACTAGAGGAGGCCTCCAGCAAGGGAATGGAAAAAAAACAAAACAAAAGTTTCACAAAGGGGGGTAAGTATGATACTAATTAGAAAGGCATGGTGAAGATGATCTAGTTACGCTTGATTATGTAGAGATTAAATAGAAAATAGACTGCCAGGCATTACACAAAAACACAAGAAAAACTAAATATCAAATGCTACAGGTTTTTTCATTTTTGGACAGATTTGCACATGATAAGAGTTAGGATTTGACATATGGCTGATCAGAATTCTTGTTTGAAACATCTGGCATTTTATAGAAAAAAATTGTCAAAACTCAACAATATGGATATGTATGTGCAGATACATGCTCACATACAAAATAACAACAGATACCTATATGTTTATGGATGCTCCTTAATAACTGAACAAATAATCTCATACAGTGCATTTTTTTAGGGAGATGAACAAAATGATTAAGCTACATTGTATAAGAAATTTAAAGTCAGTATCCTGAAACAAGCATAGGCAAAGCAAGAAGTTACCTCGGAACGAAGATTGTCAACAGAAACAGCTGAAAATGTTGGTACCAGGTCAGTTGCATTGACAATAGTAGTAACAAAATGTTTGCCCGACTCCGCCAACTCCCATGTCATGCAAGCAGCTAAGGAACACCAAATCTCTTGGAAGTCAAGAAAATGCATTTTTCATAATATGTTCATGTATACACATACACATATATATTGTGGTACAGATTTTCCTATTTTCTTATTAAAGAAACATAAGCATGATCACCTGCAGAAATAATAGACCGAACACCTTAAAGACACTAATATATTCTACGAAACTTAAACAGCTCCTGAAATCATCAAAAAAAAAAAAAAAAGAAGTTAGGAAACATATAAAGTATAAGCAACCATTAATTATCACACCAGTGACATATTCATGTAAAGAAGCACCAGGTAAATGGCCTCCTTCTAGGGAGGGTCAATGCATACAATCTTTCCCATATAACAAGATGTTTGAATGACTCGAACCTTGCTAACCCAAGTCACAAAGGAGCAACCTTATCTCATCTCCTAAGATCACCCTTTAAATACAAATATCTACATATAAACTATGACTAAATTAAGATATGCAATAGCTAATACAAAGATACATGCCTGGACCAAATGCAACGCATGTGCTTGACAAAAATTCTTCATGTTCCCGAAGAATATACGACAGAATTGCAGCAATTCCAGCACCCATTGAATGCCCAATGATCTAGGGATAAATAATAAACTTTTAAATTCGTATTTGTACCAGATATATACCTTTAAGTAAAGAAAACAATCTAAAATGATAAATAATTGGGAAATGATAAATGGAATACTTTCAATTCAAAAGGCCAAGAGTTCAATGATTTTGTCAATTCATATTAGAAAAAGAAAACACTGAAAAATTCTCAACAAAAACATACTCAACTACCAAAGAGCATCCTATATCTAGATATCACCAGACATTTCATTGCTGTCTCCTTGAACAAAAAAAACAAACAAACAAATCATGGAATTTAATCCTGCACAGACAGCTGCAAGCATAAGGTACACTAAGGGAATCAATGACTTGTGAGACAAAAAAAGAGGCTAAGCAAAACAACCATAGCAGTGAAGATAGATTTTCCAGTGCTCCTTGGCCCCATGACAATGTGTTTCTAACAAAGTCAAGTTATAAGGGGTTTGATTCTCAAAAAACCACTTTGACCTATATACTTGATCATGCATCTGTTCATTAATTATCACTTGTATAACTTGTCAGTAGAACCTGTTGCACAGGGTTACCATTTTCACTGGATTGTCAAGTTGCTGAGAAAAAATTCCATGGATATCCTTCAAACTGGATGATTGGGTTGTGCCTCAGTGGCTTACAGCAGTTGGAGATGAATCCAATGCATGAAAGCATACCCTTAAGCTCCATGATAACCAGTTTAACTTTCTTGCCTTCTGTAGATTCATATTCACCTCAAAATAACTCTAGTTGTTGATTGCCCTGCTAGAATTTCTATATGCTGCCATCCTGATTCAAGGATTAGATCATGAGCTTGAGCAGAACAGCTCCTGAGGTGCAGTGAGCACCAGGACAAGGTTAATGCAGCACTATTTCAATATTGCAGACAAGTTCAATCACTGCAGAACTCAACTCTCAGGAAGATGAGTTTCGGCAGCTTGGGATGGATGCATGTTAAGTGTACATCAGGAACGGATGATGCAAGATAGTAGGGCAGCAAGTCCACCAAATAATTGCTTGCAAGTTTTTTAGCATCTAAAACAAAGCACTTTTATAACCCCACACCCCCTATTAAATTCAAAAGTCACTTCTAATACCTGAAATTGCACAAGAATTCATCATATCGTTACAAACCATGGCAAGCACAATACAAAAAGGTACTTAATCTTTTAAATTCAGGTAAAATTTTAACTTTGTCATTCATCTATAGAGAATGATAAACATTGAAAATTATATAACATGCATAATTTCTTCAACCTGTGAGAGTTTTTCTGGGTTTACATAAACTAACAGAACAGAACATTATGGTTGAAGGACTAGATATATTTACCTTGATATTGTAGTCTGGATATTCAGTCACTGCTTTCAGGAGGCAAGGAGTTGCACAGTTTGCAATCCAATGAGCTGCAGCAACCATCCCACAGTGTGCATATCCTGTGGTCAAATTGCTGATGCTGCCTTCATGTGAAACTAGATGGTGGAAAGGGACCAATTCTCCAGTTGCAGCTGTCAGCTTATCCTTAATACTTAGAGCCCCACGGATCACAAGAAGAAATGACTTGGAATTTCTGTCACGCAAAATTGTGAAGGCAGGCTTCAGAAGCTGCACAGAATCAATAAACAATTGAGGAATGAGTCTCGAAAATGGACGTATTGATTATGATAAAATAATCTAAAGTATTTTGATACTTACTCACCCCAGCCTTGGGCTCTTTAAGAAGAACATCTTCTTCAGTGTACCCGGTAGACTCCAAAAGAACCGCATATGGTTTCTTTGAGAACAAGAAGCAAAGATTCAACAACCTTAGCATATGAATCAAATCAACCATAATTTCACAGCCCTTCAGTTCTATGCAGTTGCTGCCAGCATACACGCTTGCAACCTCACGATTGCCCTGAAATAACACATGGCATGCTTACTCATTTGTATGCACTGATACTTATTCTGAAACAAAACAGTCCCCGTGCAGAACCAAATGCAGACTTGGTCTAAGCCAATATCATTTACTTATTCCCTAAATAAAGAAGACCAAAGAACCAGTTAAGTAAGCAACCGATGCTCTACACCTCAGATTAGATATGAATCATCCATGAATCCCAGAAGATTGTTGAATGCCAGTTCTTCTAAAGTAATCATTTAAGCACAATTACTAAAAATGACCTCAAAATTTTTATTTTCTCTATTAATTTGGCCACTAATCTTGAAGAACTCGTAAGAAATAGAATGAAGCTTTTAAGTATGATATATAAATGCGAAGCAAGATTAAGCACAAGATAAAGGTCTACACAATTAACTGACAAAATTCTTGAACCTGAAGCTCCACTTCATCGGAAAAAGAAGTTATAGGATGAATAAGGGGATATTGGGTGATGTCTATAGAAAGAACACAGGAATCAGCTCAATATGCTTTCAGAACACAAGAGGATGAACAGAGGATCTCGATTCAAGACTTTTTGTCATTTTCATAGCAAAATTCTTACCAATGTCCATTTTTGATAGAACAGCTGATGCAACAAAAACGTCGCATCCGATCGAGACATTATAATGATCGCTGGAAGATTTCCCTTTAAAGCTTTCATCTCTTGGAAAAGGCAATCTGAAAAGCAGATGTAGCCTACCCGAATGAAACAAAAATATACCTTTTTTATAAGGTTTGGAAACGCGAGGTTTTAGGATTCTACTTCAGTTCATATAATAGTAAAGAATTAGAAGCTCTAGAAAGCCACTTCACAAAGAAAAATGAGAAAAAGAGGGCAACTTTGACGAAGAGAAGAGATGCAACGCGAAGATAAGCCATGGAAAGGGAACAAATCCTTCCCATCAGCAGCACATCATCACTGACCTGCCGCCGCATGTGATGCCTGATCCCGAAAAGCAGATCGACGAGAGGCCACCTGCCCAACGTCTCCGAGAAGGTGAAGCGGATCGTACCCGCTACCAGGACCAGCTTTCCCATCCACGTCACCGGCGGCTCGGTCGGACTCTGCTGCCGCTTTCTCCACCTCCGCCCACTCCTGTGGCGCTCAAGGACGATCCCGTCGCTTGCGCCGCCCGCCACGCCCTCCTCCCCCTCCTCCACCTCCCCTTCCCTCATGCAGAGCACCAGGCAGAGCAGCACCGTTAAAGCCGCGGCCGTCGCCGCCGCCGCAGCAGCCATCGGAGTCCAAAACTGCCTCCGACGATCAAGGGAGCAGACAAAACCTAAGGCCCGTATCGCGAGAAGATAGAGAGAATGAAGAGACTGGGGCATCGGGGTTTACTCTCTCACTCTCTCTCCTCCCTCTCTTCTTCCCGTCTCCGCCAGGTCGTCGTTCCGAGGCTATAAATTGCTAGTTAACTATACCAAAATGCCCTTTCCCACTTAAGAAATCACAAATAAATTAGAAAGTTATGAGGGGCAGTGTGCAAAAGACAGAGGTAATACTGTCATTTAACTCGACGCCGCGCCGAAGCATCTCTCGGAAGGAGGAATATGTAGATGGCATCTGTACGGAATGCGCTACAGGTGAGGGGCGCAAGGTACGTGCAAGGGGTTGGATTCGGATCCTCTACAACCCGCATCCGTAGGAGAACTCTATACACCGTCCATCTCCCCCGCCCTCACATCTCACCGTCCATTACTGATGTGTTGGGTGGGACTTCGACGCTTGATGAAAGGGAATGGACGGTTTCTGATGCGCTGAGGTAGCAAAATGATTGATGTGAGGTCCAGTCCAGGTGGCGTTAGGTGAGATCCTAACAGGTAGATGGGATCCTCTCCAATTCTTAGGATTTTTGCATCTCTTCCATCCGTCGTCTCGGGATGGAAAGGTTATCTGAAATGGACGGTCGAGACGCGGTGTGGTAGCGGAGGAACGAGTGGGATGAATGGTGATAATGAACGGTTCAGATGGAGAGTTAGTGGGGGAAGCACGAGATGTTTGAATTGAAGGAAAAAATTGATACGGGTATTCAAATTAAATCATTTTTTATTTGATTTGAATCACATTAAATCGATTCAAAATCTATTAATCATATTTAATTAATCACTTTATAATTTTAAATTATATATATATATACTAAAAGAATCGATTCAATTGAACCAAATCAGAATCTTAATCCAATTAGATTAACATGATAAGATATATAAAATTGAGCTTATGTCATTTGTAAAATTAAGTTTTTGGATCGATTTAATTAATTAATTTATATTAATTAATTTGATAAAAAAATAAAAATAAAATTGATTTGATTTGATCTGAACTGATTAATCGAATCAAAAGAAAAATATCCCGAATCAAAACGGTTCGTAAGCCAAAACCAATTTTTTGTAATTTCATTTGAACACCTTGCAAATTAAGGTTGCTTTTCAATTTTTTTTTCTTTTTTAGCATGATTATGAACAAGAAAAAGATTGAAAACACATCAAATATCATTCCTCCTCTAAATAAAAAATATAATGAAACAAATTGCTCGCATCATAATCAATAACGATGAGCCTTATGAAACGATATATATAGAGCATGACAAATGAGATTATATTCCTACCATAATGCAGGAATGTTATATCCACATCGCTGAAAGGACTTGAACTAAATTCAACCAAAAGCAAAGTATTTATTCAACAACTAAAAATAAAAGATTAAGCAAATCTAACTGGTCTAATGATATAATGATGTAGTGTTATTAGTTTAGATGGTGCAATCAAGTTGAATAATGATGTAGTGTTGTTATCAGTCAAGATGATGCAATCAAAATGATATATAGGTTGCACAATTTCCACCTTTTTCTACCAAAAAAACAAAAGAGAGAAAGGACTTGAACTAAATCCAACCAAAACCAAATTATTTTTCTGACAACTAGAAATAAAGGAGTATTTAGTATGTGTTATTAGTTTAGATGATGCAATCAAAGTTGGCTATCACTTGAAGTTTAGCACTTTCACAAGAGAATTTGATTTTTAGTTGTTTTGTTGTGTGATGACAAATATATTCTCCTTACATAACTGTTCAATATCTCCATTGCTATACCCATGTCTTCAATAATT